TCCTTTGCTAAAGTTTGAGGTTGTTAAAGGGAATACAGATAATTGTTGCAAGCTCCAACTACGATATTTTCCTTTAAAATTTCCGATATTTTGTTTGTTTCGAATATTGAGCTAACAAACCTTAATTGTGAATAGATAGACTAGAGGAAAAGCAGCTAGTAAACACCATCCGCTGCGAACTCGTGGACTACTCTAATCGAATAATAGGATTTGATCGTCACTCTAAAACAGGGGTCACCAAACTTTTTTCACAGCGGGCCAGATAACTGAGAGAATGACGAGCGCGGGCCGCATAACCATTTTGTTCAATACAATACAGTGAATACACAAAAAATAAAGACAACAAACATGTTTATTTTCCAAAAAGTTATCAAAGAAGGTGATGTTAGCAATAAGATAGTTATATCACACCCAGTGGGCACATATCCGAATCTCACAAACCAAGCAGCAAAAAAGATTTGTGAGATTTGTGAAACTGGCGTTTAGCTTTTGAGATATCATCAACATTTGCTTTGAAATTGCTGCATCTAATCAAGAGAATTGCTTTCAAATGCTCATCAGTGAACCTCGTTCGATGTGCTGACTTCACGTACTTTATTTTTGAAAATGTTTGCTCACAGACATAAGTTATTCCAAACACTGATGCCATACCAGAGGCAAATTTCTTCAACTTTGAAAACTCATCATCAGGTAAGCAGCGATAAAATTCAACAAGTTTTCCTTCTCTGTGCTTCTCTTTCAACAAGTCATTTGCTTGATTTGAATTTGAAACTTCAGGGAAAGGATAACCTTATCTGTGATCTCTACAGAATCATCAAAGGATTTCGGAGAAAGCTATTATTGTTTGAAGCACAACTGGAAGGAGGAACCTTCTCTCATTTTTAGTGTTTCAAATAGTTTCGCGCTGGAATCGCAGAAGATGTCAACCTCGAGTTTCCGAAGAAGATTATTAGTGACTTAAATAAGCATTTTTTGGAGAGATTTTCAGATCTTGACAGAATTGAGAGTGATATTCTTTTGTTCCAGAATCCGTTTGATTGTAATCTTGATGACGTGCCAGTCGAACTATAGTTGGAGCTCATTCAAAGTTGTCATTTTTGGTTGACATCATATCCCACATGAATGAATTGAATTTTCTCACCGAAAAGGATAGAGCTGATCCACTTCTGTCAGATCCTACCTGGCTGTTTTCGTTTTTATAAGCTCCGAAGAGAAATAGATATTCTTAATACTATATTTGCCTATTAAGATTCTTGATATTTTTATTAAATATGATCTTAATTATTATTTATAAAGCTCTTCTAATTAACTTACATAATAAATTTTAAATACATTGGCAAATTATAAAAATTGCTTAATCAAATAACTTATCGGGAAACAACTTTTAAACCAATTGCGTAATAACGTAATTTAATGTCATGGGTTATGTACATTTAGTTTGTCATGTTTATATACATGTTAAAAACATTTTGAAAAATTATTATTTTCCTAAAACGTTTTTGGTAGACTAGTCAATGTGGAAATAAACAATTGTTTTTCATTTTCAGATCCTGTTTTCTTCACCCATCATTATGGCTACTAAGAAAAGAAAAGTAGATGCTGAGTGTCACCTTTTCAATGAAGAATGGGGAGAAAAGTAGTTCTTTGTGGAAACAAACAGCCTGAAAGCTAGTTATATGATATGCAACGAAAGTGTTGCCGTTTTGAAAGAGTACAATCTTCGGCATCACTATGAAACAAAACACCTGTCAACATATTCGAAGTTTTCTGGAAAGTTGCGTTCTGAGAAATTTGAATTCATAAAACGTGCTTTGGAATCTCAAAGGAATCTCTTCACGAGAATGTTTGCTGAAAATGAACCTGTCACTCGTACAAGTTACAAAATAAGATGGCAGAGCGAGGAAAACCGTTTACTGACGGCAACTTCATCAAAGAGTGTATGATGGAAGCAGAAAATGACTTGTGTCCTGAGAAAGCTGATTTGTTTGGAAGTATCAGCCTTTCAGCAAGTTCATTTGTGCGGCGAACAGAAGAACTTGGAGAGAACATGGTGTTACAGGTACGCGAGAAAGCTAGGAACTTCTTGTGGTATTCTCTGGTGCTTGATCAATCTACTGATCTCTCGAGTACGTCACCACTTCTCGTGTTCATTCGTGGTGTTAATTTGGACTTTCAGATCACAGAAAAGTTGGCATCCGTTTGCAGCATGTACGGAACAACAACTGGAGAAGACATTTTCATGGAAGTGCAGAAATCTTTGCAAAGCTATAACCTTCAGTGGAATCAGCTTCAATGTGTTACAGTTGATGGAGTAAAAACCATGGCTAGAGCGAGGAAGGGTCTGGTGGGGCAGATAAAAACTAAGTTGGAAGATCTTCAACTCCGGGGCGCTCTGTTTATACACTGCATTATACATCAGCAAGCACTCTGTGGGAAAGAATTAGATATTTCTTGCATACTGAAAGCAGTTGTTTCTGCGGTGAACTTCATTCGGGGTCATGCACTTAATCACCACCAGATCCAGGCTTTTCTTGAAGAAATTGATTCTAAATTATGTGACTTGCCTTATCACACAGCAGTGAGATGGCTCAGCTGCGGTAAAGTTCTGCTTAATAGGCAAATATAGTATTAAGAATCTTAATAGGCAAATATAGTATTAAGAATTTGGATACTAATTTAATTAAAATCTTCGTTAATATAGAGTTTTACATAACATTTTATTCTGGCGGGCGATTCAGATCTGTTTAAGGGATTCAACTATTAAATTTATCAGGATATCCTTTCCATTTTATAAAATATTGTTTGTTTTTACCACTTCCACGTTCGCGTAATCTTTCTTCAACAGCATAAACGTCATCGGGAGACTTTATAGCTATTTGTATTTCAGATTCGTAAAATGTTCCATTTATTTTTTCTCCAGGATAATCTTGCAGTATACAAATTGGTGGATTTCTTTCCATTCTCTTGTAAATCGTAAATATTTTGTCTGTCCATCCAGGCATATAACATTTCTTAAATTGATGCTTTACTTTACTGATACGTACTTAATAACCAACATTGAACTGAAATGTTACTTTATTTGGTGGTTTGTAAAGTGTTTTCCACACCACAGACTGATTAGAGTGATTAACATCTACTGGTCTCATATTAATGCTACGACGATACGATTGATTATAGGCACTGACCAGATGTTTCATTAGCGTGATAAACTTATAAGTTCTATGATGAATAAAGTAGCGCCACATTTTAGTTTTAAGAGCGCGATTAATTTTTTCTACTATAGATACTTTTGTTTCGTTTGTGTAATAAAGAAGTGAATGTCTTGTTCCTTGGTATATCATTGAAAGAGACGATCAGTAAAGTCTGTCCCAGCATCGGTTTGAAGTTTACAAGGTTTTCGACCATGTTTTAAAATTAGTTTGAAAGATTGTATAAGTGCCTTTCTTATCCTTGAGTGGAACAACACATGTATATTTACAAAACACATCGATACACGTGAGTAAATACTTAAACTGATTGTTATATTGACTTAGACTAGAGAGATCCACCAAATCAGCCTGCTATTGTTCATCGATCCCTAAAACAATAACTCTGTTTCTCGAAAGCTTATATTTTACTGGTTTGTGTAAAGTGTATATATCTTGTGGAATTAACCAGCCTCTAACCTGATTTAGACTTATGGGCTTACCCAGCGCTTTTACAGATCTAAATAAAGACTGTACTCAGCCAAAATTAATAGGATGTGAAGGGTTATAATAGATAGATTGAAGGGTTTTATTATAGATACTATTTTCTACGCCGTCTACTGTTATTTAACTTTTTATCATCAAATTTGTCTCTAACAGTAGTAATAATTTGACCTTTACAAGAGACAATGTTAATTCTTAGATATTACTAAGCTTAAAAGACTGACAACAACCCATGACGACAGTCAATACAAAAATGAATGAATAATATAATAATACTTTATTAAAAATGATCCCATTTAGATAGAGTACGTTTAGATCTTTTATCACGTGTATCATGTTTCATATACTCCCATCTATTTACATTTCCAACAACTTCTTGGGGAATATTCATATTAGATAATAGTTCAACAATTCTTTCCATTCTGTAGAGTTAAGATTATTTCGTTTTCGTAGCACGTCGTTGATTAAGTCGATTATGTTACTCTTTGGGACAGATCTTCTACTAATCATTAATTCTCCACGATCATACCACGTTAGATCACTACTGGATTGTATAAGGTTTAGTAGAATTTCAGCTTTCTTTTTTATATTTCTGAGGAACGCTGTCAACGATCTCTAATTTTTTTTTATGATTTGGCGATTCCATTCTAATTTTAACAGGTTCTATGACTTATGAATGAAAGGTCTGATGACGTTGTTGCAGTTGGTTTATCATCTTTGCTTTATCATCTAAAGGTAATTATCATTTTGTATGACTGAATTCATATCGTTATCTGTAGAGTTTAATACTTTATGTACAGGTCTTTCATAAACTTTGAATTGATAACGAGAATGTACCAGTTCTTCAGGAATGAGAACCATTCGTTTTGCCATATTTTTAGATTCCAGCAGCTTTACCAATAGCCCGTCCTGCGAAACCATCAAATAATAAAAGTATTGGTGCTACGAGTAATGCTATAAATTTGCCTTTCTTGATCAGCAAGTTTATTTTCTGTTTAACTGGTGTTTTATTAGCCTACTCTTTAAATAATGATCGCTATCGTCTAAGTTTCTGTTTTTGTATGTTCGTCATGGGAACGTTACCCTTTAAAACGTTTAAAGTACATTCACAAATACCCAAGATAAAGTCGTTTTTAGCTCCGGCAATTATTCCATTAATCTGTTTACTTGTAGCTTTAGATAATGCACCTAGAAACTCTTGATGTTGTTTAATTTTAAGTGTCATGATGAGTAAATGAAAAGAGACTGTGTGTGTGTGTGTATAACATATAAAAACTGTTTATTTATACATCCAATTAGATATAACATCAACTTTCTTCACACTACAGTGATGATAATTGTTAATATGAAATGGACATGACAGAGTATATTTTCCAAGTTGATCAACCTTGGCATGCATCCAAGCAATTCCAGACTGTAACAAGGGATTTTCAGCAGACTTGTCAATATCTCGACTTTCTTTCTCCCCTTTGTATAAATGATTATAAAGTTCTCTCTCAACAGTTTAGCCACACTCCACAGGTAGGGATAGTTGATATTAGCAGATTTCCATGGAATGTTATGAATGTGCTGCGTCACCCAATTACACTGACGACGATCAGCATCTGAAAGATATTTATTCGAAAATGGTTGTTTAAACAAAAACACGCTTATATATATCCAGTGACTAAACAGTTGATTGCAAGTTCTTTAATTACGTGTGGCTTATTCTTCAGATAAAACCCATCTACTTCTACTACAGTTGCCGGCATGTTAATATATGAGTAAATATTCAGTTAAACAATATTTTAACTTACTTTGGTACGTACACTATAACTTTATCTTCAGGAAAAAGTCTGGTTCTCAGATGAATCTGTTCAGGCGTTTGAGGTTTCAAATCGATGAGTAAGTAACCATATGGTTGTCTCGTTGCATCTTGATAAGCTTCTTCAAAATATTTGACACGTGTCAGAAACATTTGTCTTGCTAAAACATTCAACTGAGATTTGTCTCTGACATTTTTGAACAAAATAATATATTGAGAATTAAACTTATATTACGCATTTCTCTACCCTGATGAAATAGATTCTTTAAAGTATAAAACACTGATAAATTAAAATGGTGACTTCAACGTGTAAAAAGTTGAGACACTCGTTTATTTTCTGCACTTTCACTCATAAGATCGTCAATGATAAAAATTATCAGACTGTAAATAATCATGAAATTTTCAGGTAAGCCTTCGACAAATTGAATGCTGGGAACGTTTTGCATTATTTTTATATACAACTGTTGAAATTCACCAAAAACTGTTCAATATTTTCAGGAGTAGGATAAATTACTTCACGATGATAAGTTAAAACTTTACTTACAAACTATGATTTACCACTTCCTGTCGGACCTGACACGAAAAGGGTGTAGTTCCCGTAAACATTAAGGATATTGTAAAGACATAAATAGTGATAATGTGTTATAATTAAATGTTTTCCGTAAATATAAATGTTGCATGTTTAAATAGAACTGTCTTTTTTATTCTAAGCGGACTGAAACACTCTGCTAGTTTTCATAATAATTTATGCTGAGTAATACATTAATAATTTAAACGTTATGCAAAGATCTTTTAAATGTCAGTATTTAAAGTATAATGTACAAATGTATAGTTCATTATTAAATATATTGTGCATTATAATTACGGTCTAATTGAACATACTAAGTGAATATTAATTATTACAAAATTATTATAGTAACAGCTATTAAGTATGTATATGACAAACACTGATTTGTTATCAAAACTTTAATCACTTGGTCCTTGGACTAGCTAGCCAGTTGTTGCAAAATAGACTTGGTCATTCTAATCCTATGAATTTTCTACTAAGCCTGTTAATGGCCTTGAATATGAAACACTTCGGACTGTCATGCTTTATTTCTTCGAACTGGTATGTTTTCGTCAAACTCTGCTCTATTTCTACATTGCAATACAGTAGTTACTTTGCAAATCGCATAGACTTGGTTAACTCAGAACTGACATTTGAATGAGTCACTCTTGATAAACTGTGTATTGGTGACATCAATATCTCCAAAGTGTTGTAGAGGAAAGCTTTACATTTCATCACGTGCTGTCACGATCCTTTCTTACAGACATCAGTTCGTTAGCCTTGTGAAGTTATATTAGAAATGACAGTTAGAAATGTGTATATGTGTTTCGTGATAGTGGCCATTCTGAAAGTTCTGGTATTTTAAATAATAGTAATCAGTATGTCGTTCATTTCTGATATTTAGTTGTAGGGCGATTATTGGTTATGTATGATTTGTGAAACATTAAGTGTCCTAAAGAACATCAAAAGTAAGTTGTGTATTCCATATTTCACAAGTTTGTGTGCGTTTAGAGGTGATCAATGGTTATTTGTTATTTTTATTACAGATAAGTACTGTCACAGTATATTTGTTAAAATCCTACGGTAATAATGGTAATTAAGTATATGTGAAAGTCCGCCTTTGTAAAACATGAGTAAATTATTTTGTTGTATAAAGTAAAATTAGTAAAAGTGTTATTGCATAATAAACGTTGTATTGACAATGTAAATTGTTGTATAAAGTATAAGTTTTAATTATTGTATGATATCACTCTTTCTAGGACGATTTAAACTTACAGACATGTATTGTATGCATCAGAATGAGTAAGATATAGTCTTTTTGGACAGAAAATTTAATTTACTGACAAATTAGCGTTAAGCGCCTTTTTATCACGAATTAATGAATTAATTATAATTGATTTAATGAATTAATGCTAAGCGTTCTTTTAAGGACGAATTAATTAGAAATGAATTAGTTTTAAGCTTCCTTTTCAGGACTTGATTTAATTATAAATGATTTAATGAATTAATTATAAATTATTCAGTTAATTAGTGCTAAACGTCTTTTTTAGGACGAATTAATTAACTAATGAATTAGTCTTAAGCATTCTTTTTTATGACGATTTAATTATAAATGATGTAATTAAATAGTGATTAATTAAATTCTTGTTGAGATATGTATTGTATGAGTCATGGCTGCCTAGAAACATGTTCTCTACTTAGTATAATGATGATTTAATAAATTAACTAATGAATTAGCGTCCTTTTTTATGAAGAGTTAAGTAACTAATGATTTAATCAACTATCGAATTAGTGATTAATTATATATTTGTTGAGCCATGTATTGTATGAGTCATGACTGACTAGAAATAGGCATAATCATCCATTATGGCCTCCTGTCTGGTATCGAACTATAATTTTAGCCCTCCATAAGCTAGTTTGTGTCCTCTGGTGATACTTTGTTGAATTTTGACGTCATGGCGACCTAGCAATACATTTCTAACGACGCGCCATCTGGTGGTAACTCTTGGAACTATGACTTCATCATCTTTGATGACATCACCACTATTCCATTCCCCGAGGCAGCCAATCAGCGTGAGGCGGCATCCTTTGGCCGCGACCGTTCCAGACTTACTACTAATGCCACTTCAATATCGCCTAAGTAACGGACATTCACTTTATTATAACAGGTAAATAAAAAAGTATTGCACTTGAATCCGCCCATTGATTTCCATTGACCTTATAGGGAGGTTACTGGGCCTGATTAGTTTTGTATGTCTAAAACTTCTATGAATGCGATAATGTGGGTGTCTATAAATGTATTATTCTATGAATTTTACTCTAACTTTTGAATTTCGAACTCTGTCCTATTTTCGCTCTAAAATAGACCAGTGACGTTCTGCCGAATCAGAGTATCCATTGATTAATGTACATCGCCAGTAGCAGTCAAGTTTATTTGCTTAGTTTTGTTAAATTTTGCAAAAAAAACTGCTTGAGGACTAACTGCGCTAGTCGTCCCTAATATTGAAGTGTTTGTATTATTTATTATTAACCAAAAAGTTGCATAATAGGCTATCTGTGCTCTGCCCGCCGCAGATTTAGCAACACGATTTTGAGCCTAATAGGCCCTCAGATATACCTCTGAGACTCAGTGGTGAGGGCGAAAACAAGCTCTATAACTTAATATATTCTATTATACAGATCACACAAGAAGCACGACGTTTGTATTCTTAAAAAGAAATGATATAAGTACCTATAAATGATCCAGGATACGTAAGGATTGTTTTCTTAATGGTTAGAACCTTTTCCCACGCGCGGTTTTTGAAATTTGCGTATGGAGCATGTGTGTCCCAATAGTAAATGTTGTTGGGTTACAGGCATCCCGGCAGTTATTTATGAAAACATATTATTTATACATTCTGAGGGAAAGTATTGATTTGTTTGTTTGTTGTTAAGCGAAAAAAGCTATAAAAATGGCTAACTATACTCTGCTCACCCGGTATCGAAACCAGATTTTTAGCATTATAAGCCCTCAGACTTACAATTGAGCCACATTGTGACGAACGTAAAGAAATAGCATTGATATACAACCCTGCCGAAAATACGCTGGGACAAATATAACCCAACCACTCTGAATTGGTTGATTGTGCTTTGAAAAATAAATAAAAACTATATAATAATTAAACTGTTAAAATAAACGGTAAATCTTTTTTCATCATTATTTTTCTAGGGATAGTTATCGCAAGGCTTCATAAAAAAGAGTTATTATCTGTATTATATATCTGTTTTTCATAGAATAGTCCAGTTATCTTTATTTTTCCATCAACAGTGGCAAATGCATTATTATATGTTTTATGTTCATAACAAATATATTTCTATTTCCAGAGTTTTTAGAAAGTTTGAAAAAACTGAATCAAGTACAGTAGAATTAAACTCCCATGTGTTAAAGGATTTACTAACAGGTAAGATTGAAGATCAGGCACTTAAAATACAGAATAGTCGCCAGATACCTTGTACTTAAAAATGATGATTCCAAGACATGTGAACAATTTCAAGTTTGTGAAAGGTGATTAAGATTCATAAAAGCCTAAATCTATATTCATTTGAGCCACACAACACATTCACATATATTTAATTTCAGTAGAAATAATTCTGATTACTTTTGTGACCAATTCGTTTTACACGAGAGATATCTGAGTCAATACCATAACTATTTAGGCTTGCTTTCAGGTATGATATAAATAGCGTTTGAAAGTACTTAAAGTGTTGCACCACCCTGTAACTTATTTACTGACAGATCTCGTAGGCAGCAGCTTGTAGCAAAGTACGGTGGAGATGCTATTGTAAACTATTTCTACAGAAAACATATACTAATAAAAGTCATTATCTTAAAGGGATTGCTTAAATACAAACAGAATTCTACAAGAAAAATGCCAAAATATTTAAATTAATTCTTTGTAACATCTTAAATTGGCCGTTTACACATCTGTATCAGAATAATTGAAACTGAATCACCTCTGAAATAATACTTTCTTATTTAGGATTGGCAATAGGAAAAAGTTATGTTACTATCTCTCTCTCATTTCCCAAGCTTTTTTTTTATGAGGCATATGAAAAATCTGTTTGCTAGTGTGTATGGAGATGGATAAACAACAAGTGGTTTCTGAAAAATAATTGCGTCTCACTGTTTGTTGAGTTGTTAAATATATTAGGTGCACATTAAAACACGTACATTTCTATTTCTACCTATCTTACTTGTCAAACATTAAACGTGA